ATATATATCGAACACGTTAAGCCTAAGTGGCAGAAAAATCATATTTCAAATCCTATGTGGCAAAATTTCATACTTCATTAGTTTGCTTGAAATAGATTTTAATTTATTTTCAATCAACAAATAATTGGTTCAAAATTATCCATAAATATGTTGATCACGGTCATTTTACATGCATTCATTTCATTTTAGTATCAATTCTGCTATTATAACATATAATGAACTGTAAATGTATTTAAAAAGTTAATAATTTTATATTTTTTATAAGTGTTATACATATAATATATCATATTAATCATCTCTTGATGAGTTTTGATTTGATATTCATATTGTATTCATAAAATAAATAAATTGTATTTATCTTTTCAATAATAATAAAATTATTTATTAATTAATATATTTATACTTAAACTGATTATATATTATAAATTAGAAAAATAATTATAATATAACAATGTGAGTCGCAAGTGTCATTTTATAACATATAATAATATATATATTTCATAAAAAACTGTTCAAATTTTAAAACACTTTTCTCTCGTCCAGAAAATGATAAAATTTCAACGAAAATATATTTTAATAAAATTATTCTAACAACATTTCATTGGATATATTCAATGCTATTATCTTAGTTGGAATTTTATAATAGGTTCCAACTAAAATTCCAACAAAAACATTCCGTTGCAATGAGTTTTCCATCGGAATTTCCGTTGAATTTTGACGAATTCAACGGTAAATTTTCAACGAGGGTGAAAATAAAAATTTCAACAGAAATTCCTAAGCTAGAAATGCATTGGAAAGATTGTCTGTTGGAACCATCAAATCCATCTAAAATTTTAGTGAAAAACACACTCCAATGAAAGATATACCATTAAAATATACGTTGAAATTTTTATTAAAATATATTATCATGATTTTTTATTGGAATATAACAAATTTTTTTAGTGATCAATTATAATAATTTTTTTATGCAATCGTATAATACGGGCAATATCCTACCATACCTAGTGACCCCTCTGAAAATCGAAGTCCGGTGGCCGAAATTCTCCACGCCCTTTCTCGCCGGCGGCTCAGCCGGCGACGGTGCCGTCACCGCCATCTGCTTCCGTGTCCCCTCCGCTGGAAACCCTTCGCTGAAGAAACTATCAGCCAGGGCCTTGAGCTGGGGGTCTTGGCCGATCCCCACACCTGACGGGTTGACCGCCGGAGCTCCGCCGTCGAGATGCTCATCCGCCACATCGGGAGTGGCCGCTCTGGCGTCGGAGGAACCGCCGAGGAAATCCTCCAGCTTCCGACGGCCGCCGTCGTCGCCGAGAACCGCCAGATACTGATCCGGCGCGCCATTTTCTTGACCTACACAAACACACACAACACTGATGAGTCATATTATATCACTATTTTGCCAGAAACTCATAATTATTCTCATCATAATAGTTAACAAAATCAAGCGAAATTCGTTAAGGTTAATGAATCTGGCAAAATAGGATACACATAGTGTTGAATTATAGAATGTATACTGACAAGAATTAGTGGTAATAATTAACTAATAATTAACTACTTTTTAATTGTCTTTTTATTTTCTTTTTTTTAGAAAAAAAGAGGTGGATTTTATTTGTGAGAAATTTGTTGATAATAATAGTAATAATAAAAAAAAAGAGAAAAGATTAATAAAAAAAAAGAGCTTAATTACTGGGTGGATGAGAGGAGAAAGATGGGTGAAAGTGAGAGAAGGGAAGCCAATTAGGGTTATTGGAATCCATTTTTGGTCAGAAGATAGAGCGTGAAAAATTATGCAGAGAGGAAAGACGCCAGTTATTGTGTGTGAGAGAGAGAGAGAGAGTATCCATTTAAAACGGAAGAGCTCTTTTTTTGGTTTTGTATGGTGTTACGGTCTCGTTATGAAACTATTCATTTGGAATTTGTAACCATCAAATCAACTATTTCTAGCCGTTACATGATGATCTAACGGGTACAAACCCAGACGTAATGGTTCTGTAAGGTGACTTTAGCATTTCCCTTTTTTTTTTAATATACTTTTCCCTTTTTTTGGTTTGTTTTCTTTCGCATGGAGGAAATCTGTGAAGCGTTTTTTTAATAGACTAGTGTATGGCCCGTGCGATGTACGGGAAAACATATTATGGTTGTGTTATAAATTAAATATATAAATAAATTAATTATGATTTACCTATTGTTTTTAAATTAAACCGTGTTGGACATAGTCCGACCGAATAGACCGAGAAAAAGTTTATATCCGGTCTAGTTTGCTTGAATAAAATATTTGCTATTGAATCCGTCAACACCAATCGGTTGAATTGGTAAAATCGATACGATTTTTTAAATAAATTTTGCTACATTTAAAATTATTTTAAATAAAATTACATGTTTGAATAAAATAAAAATTTATAAATTGCTTATCAATTAGTTTAAACATTTGAATTTTTAAATTGTTTAGATATTTAAGTAACACATTTTATTTGAATTTATTACAAAAATTTATATATATATGAAAGCGTATTTTTGTAAATTGTATAATTTTTATAAATTAAATTGTATTTTTATAAATTAAATTATATAATTAGATTGTATAATTATATTAAAGCGTAATAATAAATTAAATTATATGATTATTAAAGAAAAATAAAATAATAAAACTACTATTTATGGGATGCATTAAATGCTGGCCTAATTTTTTACTACTATCTTTAGTAAATTGTTTTTCTATTTATATAGATATAGATATAAATAGGTGATTGTATTAAGCGATAATTATATAATGGCTGATTTGTAAATGAATATTTGATAAAGAGAAATTTGTATACTTGTTTAGAAAAAATTTATGTTGTGTCATTTTATAAATTATTTCCAAAATGTTGTTAGCTTTTATAGTTAATAAATATTTTGGATAAATTGTATATAACTATTTTAAAAAGTTTACATTAAAATGTTATTTAATAAATTTTATATGTCCACAATATTGGTCTACTAAACTTTTTATAAGTAGTAGTATTTTTGGCATTTAAAACTAATAAAATATTTTTTTTAATCAAATTTATTAGTTAGAGAATTTGTGCGGCAAGTTTGGAATTGGATCAATCTAGGAGTGAACAAAATTATTCGATGCGGTGGGGTTCCATTTTTTAAGATTCTGAATTGCGGTACAACAAAAATTTAAATTAAACAACAAATAATTTGATACCATTAGATTGGAAATTTGAAAAATTTTATGGGGAAACAAATATTAGATACGAAGGCTAACAAGATTTTAGGAGCGTGAAATTTTTTATTGGAAAAAAAAAATATATTTTTAAGAAAAATAATTATGAAATTTCAATCATAACAATTAATATAATATATCTATGCCAACTCTAATAATCGCAAGCTTTTTATATTATGATATCTATGTTAAGTATATGTTGTAAGAAGAAAAAGAAAACATATAGTAAATGACGAATGTGGATTATTTAAATTGACTATGAAGTCGACTTTCTGAAGAGATGACCAGTCGTGGCCGGCAGGCCTCTCATGAGTGATCCTTCATCGGCTCGCTAAAAACTAATGACCGAGTCCGTAAACTGGCTCTGTTCCGGTCCGGGCCCAAAAAAAAAAGAAAATAATGTGAATCGAGACCGAACTGCTAGGACACGATCCCGATTCCAAGATTTTGCGGGCCGGTTGCGGTCGGGTCCGGTCCGGCCCGCTGTCATGCCTACCATCAATAATTTTTATTAAAGTGAACGAATTTAAAATAATAATCTAAAATATAATTGTAGCAAGTGGATGCTTATCATGGGATGACTGCGGCGGTGCTCCCTTGCCTGCTGTCTCTTCACCAGACAAAGCTACAACTTTCAATTTATTACAGATACATACACATATACATATACTTGTGTTGTGTGAATCTATATAATATGATTTAATTTTATTTTTTTTGCAAATACTTTGCTTAGCTTTTACTGTAAAGTGCCAAAAGAAATATGTAGTCCGTAAGAAATGTTGGTTTAATTCACCTATTATATTTTTAAATTAAAACATATAGATGCATTATATTTTAATTGAACACGATATAGTAATTTGAAAATATATAAATTTATTGAGAATGTAGGTCTATTACTCAAGGAAATAAAAGGTATAATTGTTGATGAGAGGACTAAATTTCTAAACACAACGAAATTGCTCATGAACTCAACTTGTTAGGGAGTCCTCGTTTAAAAAGCTTGAACTCAGTCTAAGTATATATCAAGAATTAATGAGGATTCTTTTTTACGGAATTTTTTGATTTATAATTTTATCTCAACTCAACTCATTAAAACTCGAGTTGATCAGGTAGTTGATATTGATAAAGGAAGCAAACTCGAGTCGACTCATTTTAGTAACGCTAAAGTAGAAAACGTGGAAATATATATGAAAGAAATAACTAAAGAAAGACACAATTGACTGAACAATTTGAATGTTTTAAATTATAACGTATATTGATTGTATGAAATCCTCCCTATATATAATTTCAGAATGCGCTGAGCCTACGTGGCTGCTTCTGGTGCTTCAGAATCCTATTTGGCGAAGAATCATGCTTCGTAATTAGGTTTGGATAAATAATATTGAAATATTAACAATTAATAATCTAGGTTCGGGTATTCCATAAATATTATTTAGCTAATTTAGGTATTTTAATATCACTTTTACTAATATAACCCTTTAATTCTTTGTAATTTTACATAGTGAGGCACTAAGTGACTAATATATCCCTGAATTTTGATTTGTTTCCTTCAATAAGCTATTGAATTATAAATGTATTTTAAAAGTTGATAACTTTTGTATTTCTTATCGGTTTTACATATATAATATATCAAATTAATCATCTTTTGATAATCTTCGATTTGACATCCATATTGTATATATATGAAATAAATAAATTATATTTATCTTTATAATAATAAAAAATAATAATATTTATTGAAATTCATTAGAAAAATAAAATTATTTTTCAATTGGTATATTTATACGTAGTGTAGTTATATATTGTAAGTTAAAAAAATTAGTATAATATAACACAAGTAAATTGCACAAATAAAAAGTGTCATAATAAATATATAATAATATATATTCTTATAATTATAATGTATTTAAATTTTCAAACTACTTTTTCTCATTAATTTTAGATTTTAAGAAAAAAATTAGCAAGCACCCGTGTAATACACGGGTGTTGTACTAGTTAATTATTATACTTAAAAATTAATAATTTGAATTTTTAATTTTACATGATATTTCAAAATTATATCTCTGGCTTCATAAGTGTTTTATCCCAAACTTTGTGGACAAGTGAGTGACATTTTCCAAAAATTAGTATGAAGTTGTGAGAATTATCTAACAAGCAAAATATGTGAATTGTGCTAACCATTACATAGAGTCCAATTGATAGATATAAATACTGACATTTAGATGTAACAAAATGTCATCACTCAGCTGATATAAAGCAAAAGAACCTCCAATTTTTCTTCTTCAATTCTTCAAGGAGCAGAGACATGAAAGCACAGCCTAAAAACTCCCCAACTAAGAGGCTGTGGACTTGTAGTGATTTTCATCAATTGTCGAATAAACCAAACCTTCCGATTCCAGAGACTCGATTGCTTCCCTGTTATGAAACAAAGAACATAAAAAAATTGATCACAAGAAAAAATGATACACACACAAAGAGAGAAAGAGAGAATCGTACTGGATTTTTCCATCAGAAATTTTGAGCTTTTGTGCAAGTTCATTCCGGTGCACACCTTTTTCCTGAGCGCTGAAACACAAAATATACAAAAAAATAAACAATTAGTCAAGTCGTACGTAATTTGCAAGAAACGCCGAGCAAGATTAATCAAGAAAAAGAATTCTAAATCCCTATTCATCTTATGGTTTGATTAATGGTAACATATAAATCACTAGTTTTTTCAAGTAACCATGAACAAAACATGTGCAGTTGATGCATAAAGGTAGTCTAAAATCATCTTATAAGATCAAAGATAAGCAACTTACAGGGAGGAAGGCAACTGGAGATAGTCCAAAATCATCTTATCAATGTTCCCTAGTCCATCCAAGTTATATTCTTGAGAGCTCTAAATGATCAACGTAAACAATAGTAAGTACAAATAAGTACTTCATTTGGATAAAAAAAAAGAAAGAACAAACATATGATGTTAACACAATCACAATAATAATTGTAATTTAAATTGCGAACTTACTTGACTGGCCGAGACAGGTTGGTTGACACCCACAGAAGCTGAAGCAGGGGAAACGCCATTATTCTGCAAGCCCACAACAATTTGAAATTAAATCATTTACTCCCAAAACAAAGGAAATGAAAAGAAGTACATTTGATGATTACATGCATGTGTTTGAAAGAGAACAATGTAAAAACTGACCAAATACCTGTGATTTAGCATTGAGGCAGTGAGCATGCACACACTCAAGAAAGTGGTTTGCTATCTCATTATAATCATTCACAGGCCTAACATAAGGGAAAAAAAAAACATAATATATGAATCAAGAGGCTTCACATAAATGTCATAAAGAAATATGACATAGTTTTCTAGAAAATCAATGATTCGTCGTATGCCTACATGTTTAAGTTGATTGGTGTTCTTGATCTAATCATAAAGTATCGCTTTAGCTTTCCAACAGACAAGTGCACAACAGAAACTTGATTGGAAATTAAAAAAGAAATAACTTAAGCTTCATGTAACAGGAAATAAACATTTAGTTGCTACAAAAGCACAAGTCTATTTCTTATTGGCAAAATAACTACAGTTAGGCTCCACAGCCTCTCTTAAGCTGCCGTTACCTGATAGCATAAACCACAACTTGCTTCTTCCCCTTAAAACTCTTCAAATGGCCATGAACACGAACATACATCCCATCCCTGCTTCAAAAAAGTTTTCTTAACAAAACACAATTAAAACTCGGTAGCTGCTAAGACTTTCCAAACTTACATTAAGCCTTCAACTTCCTTGGTATCCTGCGGATCATTTACCCTGCCAAAATTCGAATAGAAGTATGTAATTTAGCTAAACCTCACACGAACACAAGTTAAGAACAGGTGCTGAAATAGTAGAACATGGGTCTGCCAAGCTCTGTTGAGAAAATGCCCTAGAACTCATCTTCGAAATCCTCGGACAAATTATGACACAAGGTATAACATTCACACCCTTCGTGATAAATCTCGTTTCCAGATAAGATATATACACTAAAATTACACAAAGATATAACACTAGAAAATCATTAAAAACGAAAACTTACCATCTATTGCATCCAATGCGTCCAGTTCCATCATCAATCACAAAGGATACATCAGTAACCCTCTCTGATTTTTCAAATACCATTCCAATCAATTTCACCTAAAAATGAATAGAGAAATTCAATTCCCCGACTTAAAACTACAATCAAAATGCAATAGACCACAAATTTTTTTAACTTGGTATCTATATTATAAGAATTTAGGAAGACATCAATTTAGTTTTTAGAATCAGTAATTGTCAAAAATAATTTGATTCATTAATATCCTTCATTCCTAATTGCTGTCGTTTCGACTTTTTTCTCCGCACTGCAATATTATACTTTAAAATCACCCTTCATATCATTCACTTTGATTAGCAAAGAGACTGTCAACCAAAAGGAAAGGAGAAAAAAGGGATTTCTTTTAGAAAATCACAATTCTTAGACAACTGAAGGCGTTTAAATTCATCAAACGTGAGAAAAAAATGGAGGGTTCAATCCCGGGCTTTTGCCATTGGATCACACACACACAAACAAACACACACACACACGGGTGTGTGTTGATCCTATAGTTTAAGGACCCTGTGACTGACCTAACTTGAAATGCACAGAGCAAAATCACGATTAGAGATAACAAATATTCAGGTAAAAAAAAGAACGCAGAAACGCACATTGTACACGTCAACGCCATCGATGACAAAACCTGACTTGTCGTCGGACGACAGAGCGGCCTCGATTATCTGCTTCACGGTCACCGGGTACATAGCCTGGTTATCCCGACTCTAAATTCAAAAAATAAAACGTAAAAAACAGATCTAGCTCACGCTTGTTAATTTATTTTACAATTGTGCATTATATTCAACTTCGAACTCCATTTTGTGAGTGCAATTATTACCTTTGCTGAGGCGCGGGAAGGATCGGCCGACTGAGAAGAAACAAAGCCACCGCCGCCACCGCCGACGGTAAATGTTGGACCCGAATCATATTGGCTGCTCTCGAACATCATCTTCCTCCTCTTCGCGGCGGCGAGTGTGTGCGTGGGTAGAGATGCGTATAATTTGGGCCTAATTTGTGTAGATTTTGGGTTTAAGACTGGAGGGTTTCGCGCCCTTTTCTAGAGGGTTTTGCCGCCCATTTTTTCACCTCAAAACCTACTTTTCCCTCCCCTTTTCATTTTTTTTTCCTATTTTTTTTCCCACTTAAAAATTAATAAAACCACATCAATAGTATAACGCATAGTTTTTAAACTTGGCCCAGAAATCGCCCCGGACAAGTCTCTGGGTCATCGGGTAACCTCTAATCAGCAGCGATGTAAATTCAATTCTAAATGGGACTTGCAATTTTTAATTATTTTTCTTTGATAAATTCCTCGTGGATTATATTTTGTTAATTCCACTGATTGCAACAAGCACAAAAAGACTTTTTGTGCTTCTAACTCTCAATGGCAACATCAACTTCAATCCATCTCTGCCCCCATCACACTTTCTTAAATTGTTGTCACTTCTCACTAGTAAATTTTCTTACACAAAAAATACACATAAAAAATTTGAAAGGAAGTCTTGAAAAAGGAGTGATGTGAAACCAAGGCACAAACTATTGTCTAATGTCCTAAGTCGAAGGCCAATCGGTACAATAGAAATAAACAAAAGCATAACATTTCATTATATAAATATACATTTTTATCAAAATATTAGTTGATCGACTCGTCTGGTGGTTAGGCTGCCTAATAGAATTTGTGAAGATCAACACGTTATTGTTGTTATTATCATGATTTTTCATATAGATATGTTATCATTCTAGCATGTGGGAACTTGAAGCCTCTTTCCTAAATCTCGGAAGACCGATCTTTCTCCCGAACGTCTTCAAATCCGATTCCTTCTCCGCCTGGAAATCAGCATAAGTGAATGGCCTGTAATTCGAGCTTTCAATCACTGCATTCTCAACCGGGAACACAAAGTAGCCTATTGAAAACCTCTCTTTATGCTCGTTCACCTTCACTCGGTGTGTCACGCTCACATATTTGTCATCGCTCATCGCCTAAATCCGCAAACATATTACGCAAAAAAAAATATATCATAGTAACAAAATAATATTTAAGAAATCGACAAAAAGAACATTCATGACCCAAACCTGCAACATGTCACCAAGGTTGACAATTAGTGTGCCGAAAACCGGTCGAACGTTGACCCATTTACGGTTCTTGTAAACTTGGAGGCCCCCAACTTGATCTTGGTGGAGAACCGAAAGAACCGAGCTATCCGTGTGGGCCCCAATTCCCCAATTCTGGTTGGGTGTGGGGCATTGGAGGTACCGATAGACTCGTAAGAATCCGGTGGCCGTTGACATATAAGAGTTCGATTTCGCCGGAGGGAAGTTGAGGTCATCGGAAATCGTGCCGAATATTTTGTCGACAAGCCTCGTTTGGTGTTGGCCATATTCTTCCAACAGAGACCTTTCAGAGCACAAGGGGGGCCACAAAAAGTGTGGCACTCAAAAATCAATGCAACTTTATTTTTTATTTTTTTATTTTTTTTTTCATGAAAAAATCATGATTTGGAAGGACTTAAAAATTGTCCCTACATGGAAAAAGGTAGGAATATGAAAATTATATATATACTTTCGACGGTTTTGCTATGAAGCCAACAATTGACTTCATAGTGGAGCCAACCTTCTATACACAATAAATAAACTTACCATATTAATAAAATCATATTAATGTTATTTAAGTAATCAGTAAATATAGTAATCAGTGAATATAGTAGGTCTAACCGATAAGTTCTACTCTCCACAAGCATTCATGAAAACTGAAATAGGTGAAGAAGATCAACATGATTTAACTAACTGTCAATCAATGGTAGGAAATTGGGCTTTCTTTCTTTTGGCTGGCCACCAAACTGGAGCTCATGAGTGGGACAATTATCTTCAAAACTCAAAATGGGCCTAAAGATTCCATGTGATTTGATCAAATTGATTGAATTATTCTGCACGCATGGTACAACATCAACTTCTTTAACAAGGTCAATAATTGAGATGAATTATATATAGAGCCTGATATAAGAAATTGACTAAACATTATTAATGGTCCCCTCTATTCCTCCTCCATGTTTCCTTTCAAATTTAACTAGTGCGTGACCCGTGCGTGCACGGGAAAAATGATATTTTACCACCCAGCGTATATTGATCCAACGGTGAAAAATCTCGCATAGACAAACACATGCAAGAAAAGTTCCAAAACAAATAATCCAGCCAAGAAAACAAAAATTTGCAACAAAAAAAATAAAACCAAACAAACTGATAAAGAGCAAGCCAAACCATAACACAGACCTGAAAGATTCAAGAAGTGGCTCATCATACGTAAATTTCGACGCCTTGTCCAAAGGAACATTAAGACCTTCCAACCAGTTTACACTGTCCACCGCCTGCCGAGCATAATTTCCGGCCATGCTGATTGCTGGGCTGCCCCAGAAATAGAGTATAGGATCTTTGAAAAGGCCCTGCTTGGACTCAAAGCCCAGGTCGAACACCATCTGGGCCGTTTCATGTAGCCGCCCCAACAGGCTCTCCGGCACCTCATGGTTGACCAGCCTGAACATTCCCCACTCTCTACAAGCCCGGCCCACATTCTCGGGGCTCATTCCGTGGAAATCTATCTCCGGAATGGAATATGAATCAGAATCGGAATCGGAATCAGAATCTGGTCTAGTTGACTTTCCGCCACGGTCAACCGCGTCATGGTCGAGGTGAGGGCGAAAGAAGGGAGGATAGGACTGTAAGTTGATGTTGTTGTCTGAAATTAGCATTTTTGGAGATTTCCAGGTTCTTGGGTTTTTTTTTTTTCTTCTCTTGAGCTTTGCTTGCTGGGTTTGATTTGTGTTGTGTGTGGTGACAGGAAGTTTGCAGGGTGTTTTTTGCTATTTATATAAAATAGAGCTACTGGTTTGGTAATTATGGAGAAATGAAAGAGTGGTGACTTGGACCATTGGCCCTTTTAGAAACCTACACGTGTTGAAAAAGCGATGCTTTGATAAATTAAAAAAAAAATAATCAGTGATTGGTTTTATTTTATTGAGTTTGTTAACGTCAGGCAATGCAATGCTGAAGTCTCGGCATTTCTTAGTATAGAAACATTGCAACAGAAAGAGGGCCACCATATGCAGTGTGATGTGATTTGACAGATTATGGGATAGGTTTGTTGCATATTCTAAAGAAGGAAATTCATTTGGTTTCAATCTACTACACAAGAAAATCGAACCAAATTATCCAGAGACGCGTATTCGGTTCGATTAAAGTTCGTTTGGACTCGTTCGGGTTGACAGGCAAACAAGCTCAAGTGCAAGTAAGAAAACACGGAGAACATTTGATCTCAATGTGACAAAAATCCTCACATTCACATATATGTATGTAATGATCACAACACTAGTGGCTCGATCATGCCGAAATCAGGTTGAGACCGATGGAATACTGCCTGGACCAAGACAAACCGAGACAAGACAATTAGAGAACATACAATCGGTTCTAATCCTGCAGCAGGGACAATATAATCCCGTCAGATTCATCTGTGTCGATTTTTAGTTAACTCGGTACAATCTCCATCTGACCCACCGATAGTCGACGTAATTTGCTGACATGGAACAATTGCCAGCCAACTTATTGACGTGGCACCCTTTTATGTGACACGTCGAAAAATGAGTGCCTATGGAAAACCAGTTGTTCTCTCACTCCTCATGGCTCTTTCATGCTGCAAATGAAAACCAAAAACCTTAAACGTTTATGAACTAATAGTCGACACGACAAAAGAAGTCGGTATATATTCTGCTCTCTTTCATTTTACTTATCTTCTTGAACAGAGCTTTTTTGCACATTTTTATGTTTTCCTTTTGGTCCCAAATGGCATTTCTCAAAAAAATAAGGATAAAAAAACTGCAAAATGGGAACCAAACTCACACACACATGCTTAAATTTCAATGTGTTCTCCTCAATTGGGAGCCCGGGCTGAAGACGGTGAAACTTCAGCCGAAGCTCACCATACATGTTGCTTATTGTCAAGTCGAGCACAACCTTAAACTCACACCCAAAATCTGTAACAAATATACTAACTTCTATTGTTTGTGAATGATTGATTTGTAGTATGTTTGTGTCATTAGTTCACAAGGGACCGCTCATTGTAATAAACGGGCGTGAAATCGAGTTCAAACTCATAATCCTCCTTATATATAATTCTCGAATGCGCTGAGCCTACGTGGCTGCTTCTGGTGCTTCGGAATTCTACTTGGCGAAGAATCATGCTTCGTAATTAGGTTTGGACAAATAATATTGATATATTAATAATTAATAATATAGGTTCAGACATTCCATAAATATTATTTATCTAATTTAGGTATTTTAATATCACTTGTACTATCATAACCCTTTAATTATTTGTAATTTTACATAGTGAGGTACTAAGTGACTAATATATCCCTGACTTTGATTTGTTTCCTTCAATTAGCTATTGAATTGTAAATGTATTTTAAAAGTTGATAACTTTTGTATTTTTTATCGGTTTTACATTTATTATATATCAAATTAATCATCTTTTGATGATCTTCGATTTGACATCCATATTGTATATATGAAATAAATAAATTATATTTATCTTTATAATAATAAAAATAATAATATTTATTAAAATTCATTAGAAAAATAAAATTATTTATCAATTGATATATTTATTTTTAATGTAGTTATATTTTTTAAGTTAAAAATTATAATAATATAACACAGGTAAGTCGCACAAATAAAAAATGTTATACTAAATATATAATATATATATATATATATTTTTGTAAAAGCTATTTAAATTTTCAACTATTTTTCTCATTAATTTTAGTCTTTAATAAAAAAATTAGCAAGCACCCGTGTAATACACGGGTGTTATACTAGTAATCTACTAATAAACAATTACCAGAATCAACTTCCAGAAACTCGGGTACTCATAAGTCATAACCACTCATTCGCAACATATACAATCAACATGGCGTATAGAGTTTTGTTTATAGAGGCAAAACTCATAGAGTTTGTTAATCTCATATAGGCAACAGGATAACGCATGACGATGATTTGTATTCAAATAGGAGCAACCTACACTGGCGAATATCTAAAACACAATCGGTCAAATACAGTTTAATTTATGTGATTACCGAACATGTAATGAACCCGAATTCGATATGGTATTCCATGTTATGAGTACTTACACATCGAACTTGATGTCTAAATCATCAAACTCATATCACAATAACATATGTATTAGTACAACAAATCTGCGCATGCAATATTAGTACATTACAAAAACGATATAATTGGCACTAGGAAATTCAAGCTTATATTTCATAGTAAATCTACTAATTGACTGCTCATGTTATCTTAATTCTCAAGCATTCATAGTAAATCTCTTTAGAGACTATGTTAATTGTTTTTCTAATTCTTGAAAATACGACCACACGATTAATCTGCTAATTTGCAGGACAGTTTACCATTTCCGTTGTCTGTTTTTCGGGTAAAAAGATAAAACAGGCCGACTTAGGTAAGAAATCTATTCAAAGTTTTTCCAACCCTATTATCACAAATCTGTATTGACCTTGTCCTACTCATCAGCCACTGCAGAAATGGTAAAAACACGGGCAAGTAACTCCGACGTGTTCTGTCTCGCGAGTGAATCATCGTTTTTTTTTTTTT